ATAATATATGATAATAATAAAAATAAGATAAGTAATTAATTATTTATTCATGCTTAACTTAAACTAGTTTAGGTAATCTTTTCAGGACACCAAGTTTCATAAGAAAACATTGTTCATTATGAAAATTTATTATTCAGTTCATCGCCCAATCATATATCGTAGTTTACCTAATACAACATATGCGGCAACCAGACAGAAATATCACTGTCCATCGATTGTTTAAAATGAATGTCAAACAGCTATAATACAGTTCATGAACTTAAAAAACAAATGAGGTGAAAGGGCGTAGCCGATAAACCTCAAAACGCTCGAAAATTGGCGGGTCCAATTATTTTTTGCCTCTGTAAATTCGAGACGCGAAATTCGGATCGCTTAGCGGAGAGGAATTATAGAAAAAGCTCTGCGCATCTTCAAAGGTGGGCTCCAACCCTTTGGGCTGGACGAGGGAGGGGGCACGATGCAGGGTGGTACGCACAGTAATATAGAAAACTTGTGTTAGCCCAGTTCCGCGCCTTTGTAACATCATTTCGGCTCCCGTTACACGCGTCTTGTGTAATCTTGATCGTTTATAAATATTTCTATTGTTACCATATTAATAGAATTTTACGAATTTCAAATATACCTCTCGTGATATTTAACTTATTTGGTTCAAGTAGAGGAATAACATAATAATAACACTAGTCTCTCTCTATAACGACATATGATTTCAATCAAATTAAGCTATTAACTGTGTTAATATATTATTACGTTACACAACTTTCTCATCCATTCGTTTCTTTGTTATCATGTTGTTTATCCTTCTGTCTCTTAGTCGTCATATTGCATATTAAATCAATGTTATATGTCATAAAATCTGACATATAGCACAAAGATACGTAGTTTCCATTACTATTTATATCTAAGACTGGAATAAAAAATAAATAATTGGAATTAAAAACAAAGGCAGTTCAAAGACCCGTGTCGTACAAAATATAAAAATAATTAACAAACTCGTAAGTATCAAGACCGTTCGATCGCTACACAACTTTATAATTTAAGAAGAAGAAACAGGCCATAAGAAATAAATGTAAAGAAGGAGAAGAAACGTTTGAATCCCGAAAGGGTTGGAACAGGGGGTGCGAAACGCCCCCACCTGCACGTATACGAGCGTAGACAATTAAGTCGAAGGAGATTGTGAAATTGTTTTAATGTTTATTTCGCTTTTTAACGAATTTATACTTACGTTTATTCGTCTTCCACTTTTAATTGCTTTCTCGATTTAAACTTTCAGCGTAATCAACAGAATGTTACGGAAAGCAATCCCTATTAGTATGAAAATCGTAATTCATTTTCATCTTGTGAAAAAGTAATTATGTGTTTTAAAAACTGGCATTAGAAAAAGTAATAAACATAAAGGGATCTGAGTTCCTCTGTCACTGTATTTTGCTCATGATGTGTAAGAAAACTTTATGAATGTTTTAGAATGTGTGTAGGTCTAAGATTCCTATATAAAACTGTTACATTATTAAAGTCCGTAGGTCAAAAATTAAAAAGAAATGGTATAATAAATATAAAGTGAATGCTGTGTACTATAGAAATATACTATACAAATTAATGTATTTAAAAACGCAAGTGACATAGTTATGAAATTAATAAATGAATAATTAGGCGGAAAAGTATTGAAATTTAAGTTGAATATTATGTAACTTCAGTTCAGAGTTTTAGGTTTACTTACGTAGAATATCTCGAAGGCTATGAAATTTGTACATAATTTTAAAGTTGCTTATATTTCGCGAGTAGTAGATAAGTAATGAAGATATAGCGTGTATTTGAATTAAGTAATATTTGCAGTTATAACAACGATAACAATTTGATTGATAAACCTACTCTAGCTTCATTTCCTTTATTCAATGACGGTAAATAATATAGATGACGCATGTCCATACTGCGTGGCGTTTGTTTCCGCTTTAAATGATATGACATATATAAGTGAATTAAACAGATGATATAGAACGTATGCTATGAAAAGAGATAGCAATCTATAGAATTTAATTCAATATAATTACACCAATTGGTGTAATTTGAGCGACTCAATTTCGGTGCGCTAGTGTCATAATATCTTTTGTATATAATATCATTGTCTTTATAACGCGTAGAAATCATATAAATAATAATGTGGCCTAGAGTCGATGGGGAAAATAGTTTACACGCGACACGAGTGAACCGCGTAGCCACAAAGCAGGAAAGCAAAGAAATTGTAAAGATCAGTCTGATATGTAACTGTCATATCATCTCGCGTCTCTCCCCGAGCGAATTCAAAAACGTTTATGTTTGTATCGTCCGCATTTGAAAAATTCCCTCGGCGGTCCGCGCGGCACCAAATTAAATCCTTTGGAGCACGCAGAATCCCATTTACTTAACAAACGTCCGGACTACAAAGGCACGGGACGGGGGGGTAGAAAAAAATTCTAAGACTGGCAAGTATCCTCCAATCGAAACTCAATACCAATTAAAATGGTCCATTTTGTCCTCACTTCCCCGGTTGTCAGTGGCCCTCGAGATAGTATTTAAATTAAGGAATATCCTCATTGAGTCGTCCCGAGGGACTCATTTAAATTAAGCTTTTTGAAAAAGTCTCATATCTTCTTTACCCGAGGCGCACCGGTACATCAAAGGGGGTGTGGGCGGTAAAGGGGTAAGGTATTTTTCTTGGAGGGCAGCGGGGAGGACGAAATGCGTAGCGACTCACACACTTGTGCGTGAGTAAATACCTACTCACACAGAGCCGACAGTTGTATGTAAAACACTTTAAGAAGCGACGAAGAAATGCGAGAAGCTTAGCAGTTACAGGGGGTTCGGAAATTCCTCGATTTTCTTTTGTTTTAATTTTGAAATCAATATATTAATGCTTTCCCGTGGTATCCTTTCAATGGTTCAATTAACAAATGTTTAAAATATTGTACCAAATTTTCAATTTCAAAGCTTAGTTGTAAGACTGTTCTAAACCCACCGTTAAGATACTTATGTAACATGCTTATCCTGATATGTATTAGATCATTTTAAAATTAATTAATTTATTTCTTTGCAATACTCACAATTTCTACCTACATTTTCATATACGTTTTTTTAGTCATATGATTAGTCAGAGAAAGACATTTAAGAAAAATAACTAGTTGTGTATATACATAAAAACTGTTTGTGTCTATAAAATCAAAGTCTTTGCCATGTATTAGTATTTCGGAAATAGAAAATAAGTTGAGACACATTAAATTGATTTATTTAATGTCAATTTTCTTTCAATTTTCTTAAATTATTCGCATCATCCTGTTCAATGGGGGTAAAAGCGAAAGGGTTGCGGAGGCGATCGCCTCCCTGGCCGGGGTGTCCACCGCCTTCTTACAACCTTTTTACAGAGGGGGCTGCAGAGTAGGCGACAACAGAGGCATCCGCGCTAGGAAACTAGAGATCTTGATATACTGCAATTTCCTTTGTTTTCAAACACTAAGAAATTTCAGTTTATATATCCTAATTCATACCCCGAGAAAAACATCAATTCGTCGTAAATACTCTTTGTTAAAGATGCAAAGATACTACGTGTGAATGATGATAAATGAAGATTTTTCATCATACACACGAACACAAAAAACATTTCATCGCATAATTTTTTGTGTGGCAGATTCCAACATGGATCTCTTGCAGTACACTTACGAATACTCACATAATGTGCCTATAAACTGCATTGTAATCGTGTCATTAGATAGGTAAAGTATATAGCAATTTTATTGAAAATCGCTAAAAACGTCGATGTACCCGAAGTTTCTCACGTCTCTGTCAGCAAGCGGGCTGTCGCTAAGAATGTTGTATTAGCGAGGCGTCGCGGACAAGGGGGGTCGGTAGAGACGAGGCGGGGCGCGGGGTGGGGGTGTAATTGCAAAATAAAATTAGCCGGAACGGGTACGTGCTCAATTTGCGCCTCCCAGCACTGATTTGTTTTCGCTCTTGCCATGTTCCCTGTCTCGGCTACGCTGCTCTGTACGGAGCTTTCTTAGCCTATATATTATCGATCCGACGTTACTCTCTGCCATATTGTGAACGCGGCCGCGGCTTTATAACGGGCACGATCTAATTTCCTCCATAGGAGCCATTGTTTGCGCGCGGTCCTCGTGTTTTCTTTTTTCCCGTCATACCAAACGTCTGGTGGCGGCTGATTCCTCTAAATACACTTTAAATACAAGAACGTCGACCGGTTGAATGGCCAAAGAATTTTCTAGACACACAATACTTGGTGTTCTTGTTGTCGTAAATACCTATTGTCTCTTAAATAATTGGAAATTCAGAAAACTAAAATAAAACAATTGCCTATGCCCCCGAGCTCCTTCCAACCGAACGCTAAGATTTTCCACAATAATTAGTCGCCGTCGAACTCTTGAAGTTACAATAAAATAAAGCGACAGCATAGTTAGTTAGGTTCGTTTGGAGTTGAACTTGCCAGAGAATAGTTGGTTGACAGGAATAAGCAGCGAGCGACCTCGGGGCGGCAAAAAATCTTCGGCTGTGATCTCGCCGGGCGGTGTTTTAAAGTCGAAAGTTTCAGGGCCGGGCCCGCGGAGTCAATGGCTTTTTTATTTCCGCGTTTCCTTTTCGTTCCGGTTGAACTTTCGCCGGGTTTCATTTTGTGGGAGCTGCACGAGTGTCAGTTCGGCGTTCGCCTCGCAATTTTCCGCGTCTCGCGCCGATAATTGCGGACGCAGGTGGGAATTTTTTTTCTGCACCCCCTCCCGCTTCTCTCGCAGAACGCGCCGTCCAATTCCAGGCGACATTACTCTTTCTCCACCCGCTCCGATTGCATATTGAAAGATCGAATCAATCGCAATTGAATGTCGCAGTCAGGGTGTAATTAAAACAAACATGTCGTATCAGGTTATTTTTGAGCTGAACTATGTAGCGACTGAGCAAGAATCACGTGTGTCGCGGCTCTACCTCCGCCACACCCATGCTCTACATATACTACGCAATCGCAAATGGTGCGTGCGTTGTCAACTCTTAAGCCGTTACCTCGCAAGCCTATCGCCACCTATTTACCGACACATGGCACATGTGACACGCCCACCGCGCAGTACGCCCACCGAGCATGTGGCGGCACATATGTGCCCCAGTTACCCGCCGCCGCATGTGCCACACATGTGGGCGTGCGTGATCCACTGCGCATGTTTCAGGGCGTGGCCTCCCCGCCGTGAACGTTAACGTGACGCCGTCACGCTCTCTCCGTGCGGGCCAACGTGACAGCTATTTATTCTACCGCCCGCGACTCCCGCTCCACGATAAATGAGTTATAATTTATTTTTACTCGAAAATGGAACGGGTTAGGGGAGGCCCCGCTGGTAATTAATGGCCAAATTGGCTATTCCGAGTATTCGGGAGCCGGTAATGAGGTGAGATTGAGATTAAAACTCGGGTAAATGAGCTCCGCGAAGGATTAGGGACGGAAAAATCGCGAATAAAACCTCATCCAGCGCCCGGCCGCCAGGCGACGAGCTCGCACGCCCGCCTCGTATAAATTATTAATGATTTCCGTTTTGCGCTCGGATTTTCCCGGCGAGTTTATAAATAGTTTATTGTTTGACTTTTACAAGTCCTCTACGTTTTATAATCCTAAGCACGACGTATTTCGTGTTTCTTCAACGGTGCTTACGATCTGTGCGTAGATATTTCATTGCAACATTGAAAATGCCGTTTTTTTTTCAGAAAAATGTAATAAATATCTCGAAGTAATAAATGCTTGTTTGTTTATTAGGGTAAAATTAGTCAAAAAACGGGTTATTATTATTATAAAAGATAAATCTATCAGTTCTTACAAGGCGGTTTGGAATAATATTAAACTTGAACGTAATAAAAATTGTACACTAATTACATTTACTTGAACAGTTCATATTTAATAATAGTTCTATACTTCAAGTTTTATTATAGAAACATATTAGTGGACTAACAATCTTCTAAACTGTAATATGAGTATTTTACTGTTTTTTATTATTTCCTTTTTCATAGCTTAAACAGACAATGATTAATTAATTCCATGCGACTTAAATAACGAAACTGACATAAAATAAGTTTATTTTGAATGAAATGCTTGAAATGGAACACGCATAGTGTCCTGGCGAACAGATCTCTTGTTATTATAAATCTTATTAAGATTAGATTAAAGTGCATTTTAGAACTTCAGACGTGCGTGTATCCATGACTTGACAAATCACTTCGTAGCGGGTAGTGGGTTCAATATGGAGAATGGTGACGGTGGGTGTAATGAATTCAGGTAGTGCGTTTGACATATGCTTTGCTAGCGGGAGTTCGCTGTTAGTTTGTTTTATGAATACGCGACACGAAGTTTGAATTCCTTTGTTTAAGTAAGTTTAGGGGAGCAATACTGTGGTAATTGAATAACGTCACCTTATTAGAGTTTACTAAGTATCGTAGCTAGGTGAATCTGTCGTATAAGATGATAAATTAAGTAAAGATTACATTTACACTAATTAAATCTATTTGTGGATATGCAAAGTACAAATTTTGACTAAATGGACTTGGGTAAATTTTAAAAGGTAGCGAAATACTCATGGTCTCATTTAAAGTATCATGAAATTTATAATTATAGATAAGTAAAACTTATTATACCGAATTAAAATTTTTAAGAAACAACCAAGTCTATTTAGACAATTACAAGAGTACGTAAAAAACCCGTACTCTTGTAACTGTCTAAACATTTTATTTTTATAATTAGATGCTTTTATAAACAGGTTTTATTAGTTCGGTTCGGCTAAGATGGAATTAATCTGTAATTTCAGTTGGTTATTACCATACCAATTAGGGTAGATTTTTCTTCTACTTTGAGAAGTTTACACCACTCCGTACCAAAATCTTTAGTATATACCAACACTTATGTGAGAACACTTCATTTAATACTTTCGTCATGCCTCATTCGGTATTGAACAATAATAGTAAATCAACGTTTGTGGTTTTATCACATTCACTGACCATTTTAGCAGATTTATATCCTGTTGTTTGTTTTATTATATTTACTGCGTGTATCCAAGGATTTTGAAAAACGTGATCGCTTAGTGTTCAGGCGCTCGCTTTAAATCCAATGTACTCGAGCAACGTGAGATCAGTCTCGGCGCGTGCACCAATGGAATTGTTAATAGCAATTTTAATAGTCGATTTAACACGTGTTCATCGGTGACGAAAAACATCGTGAGGAGATCTACATATTTTCGAAATAATATTTAAAAAAAGTAACTTTTATGAAGCACATGTGACATGCCGACATGTCCACGGTTGTTTGCGTATTGCACTATACGCTGTGTACAGAGGAGGCTTGTACCCAGCTGTGGGTCATAAATGGGTCTTTATTTTAGCTACTTATAAAAACTGAAACTCTTGATAAACGCTGACATATTAAATAAGATAGCATAGAATGTTCATTCTCGCTTGCCACCGGGAAGTGTAGGCAGAAATGTACTATACATGTAACGATAGTTTATGAACGTAATCGGAGCTGCAGATAAATATACATTCAATGTCACACTAAATAACGGTAGTCTGCATACTGTACACTGTATGAATGAGCATTTTATTCATATGTTGCCCAATAACTGTTTTAAATACGGTTGAAATTGTTAGCATAACTAATCCGATTAAAGTGCATGCTACTTTATTGTTCGCCATCATTCAAACGCGTCGCAGCGCGTCACGGATGTCAAATAAAATTACATTGCGTGCCGATTCAAACAATGATATATCTAAATTATAAAACATACTTGGTAATGCCCGGTTTATTTTGAAGTGAATAATTCTTTAGGCTCGTTGAACACTTTTTTGGTGAAAAAAAATCATGGAATTCTCATCATCGTCACCGAAATATGAGTACTTTTTGGGTGAACAGAAAGCGTGAAACTCTCGCACTTCAACGCTTTCCATGAGCTATTCTTAAAAAGGAATACGCAAAAACATATTTACAGTTATGGATATGTTATAAATACCGTTATTATCGTACGGAGTGCCTATAAATATGCAGGATTAAACATTGTACAATTTTAATTTAGAAATGTTTTTTTTTGTTTTTATAAAAAACATTGCCCTTACTTTGGGATAACATTATCCTGTGTTGCAAGGACGTTTTTACAAGCATATAGAGCAAGCATTTGACGCGGAGACACCCAGATGCGGAACAACTATCTGTGAGTCACACAAATAGTTGTCCCGTGTGGGAATCGAACCCACGACCCCCGACGCCGAAGCCGATACCTTGGCGACTGCGCCACGGAGTCATCAAAGAAAAATTTATGTTTTCACTTCTGTCGGCAGTCCTCATGAGAAGGCCTATTTTTTTATGTAAGTGAACGATTTCATTCATCCTATGTATTCCATTAGTAAACGATAAGTCGCTTGCTTCCATCCTTTTCATGTCAACACTTCCTGCATTCGAACACAGAGTTTCACCTCATCATTCATATTTCGTAAATAGTGAAACAATCTGAATATAATTAAGTCTAACCAATAGACCAAATACTCTATCACCGGAAAGTCAAATTTTATAAGATACATGGCATGCATCGAGTTAGCAGTACTTTATTTTACAGGAGCTGTATTTCACAGGATTAAGATTTCCTAAAATCTTATGAACAGCTTCGACGTAGGTGGTTTCAGAGTATTGTTTTAATCTGATAATCAGTTCAATGTTTAAAGAGTTGTTATAACGTTCATATAGACACGAAAGTCTTTTAGATGAACTCATTTTTATCATAATTTGTGTCACATATTCATTTACCTCATTTAAAGGGATATTTTCACAACACAAATATTATAGTGAGCTTAATTGCTACAAATGACATTAGACGTCAAATATATTTATATATTATTTGGCGCATTTGCTATTAACGTAGTTTAAGAGTAACGTAGCATCAGATGTCCGTTAAAAACTATCCTTACCCTTCTAGATTATGAAACTCTTTGTGTTTTTGTTAAGGTTTTCAATATATTGCAGTCGAGTTAAATTTTAATAAGTTCATATTAATAATTTCACCGATCTCGAACCTGACGGACCTTAATCGTCACACAACAACCATTCAATAATCTGAATCTCGTTCGTTTCAGCTTGTTTAAATTATCAATTTTATTTATTTAAATGGTAACATTATTTATTACAAGATGCTACCCATGTCATGTACATTTAGGGATATAAAAAGAAACCACTCAAGTGCGAGTCCGACTCGCGCAAGAAGGGTTCCGTACCATTATCTATAAAAACGGCAGAAACTTATGTCTGTTGTGAGGGAGCCCTACTTAAATATGTTTTTATTCTGTTTTTGAGTATTTGTTGTTATAGTGGCAGCAGAAGTACATCATTTGTGAAAATTCAACCGTCTAACTATCACCATTCATGATATCGAATATTTTAGGACACATTTTTACACAACCTTATCTAGTTCCAAACTAAGCATGTTCCATACAAAGTACTATGGGTACTAGAAACCTGATAAACATACTTTTATTTTGTAAATAAATACATATTATAGATATATAAACACCCAGACACTAAAAAAACATTATGCAACATCACACAATATTTTTTCGGTAGTGGGGATCGAACCCACACCCTCTGACGCAGGAGGCCGGTACACTACCGACTACGCCATGCGGGTCGTCATTCACGTACAAACATTCCATTTTAAAATTCAATTTGAAAACTTGTACACTATCAACTTCATTATTTTCGGTGTACCCGCTCTGTAGAGTTCCGGATGGGGCGAAACAAAGACGTAGTGGCGGCGCGGCGTCCATTCATCACCGGCGATATCTATCCCGGGCTATCGGTGAAATCTGCGATGCCGCGCGGCTATGATTAGCGCGGCGGGCATTATTTTAATAGGGCCGATTTACAGGAAGCCGGCCCGGCGTTTACGCAATGTTTACGGCCCCCTAAGCAGAGGCTGCCCTCTCTACCTCGATAATTGTCTCGCCGTAGAACTTACACCGATCTTATCATCTATGTGTATGAAGATGTTCATAAAGGCTGTAAAATACGTTGTAAACGAAGTAGATAAAATACGTTGTAAACAAAGTAGATAAAATACGTTGGGGTTTTCGTCGGTGTGAGGTTAAGCCGCCTAGCACAGCGGTTAGAGCGTCAGGCGCGATTCTAGAGGAAGCAGGTTCAAATCCTCGCGGCGGTGAAAAACTTTTCGTCCATTATTCTACAAATTTTTAAGTTTTATGAAGATGTTTTCTTACCGCGCTACTTCCTTTTTTTAATATGAAAATTTTTCAAACGAGAAGGCGGTTCACGTGATGTTATGTTATCACCACCCATGGATATTTAAAACACCTGAGGTCTTGCAGATGTGTATACAAACTGCCTGCGTTATAACCTTTAAAAAAGTTTGTTCGTTCAATCTTATATCTTTCATTCAATTGCAAAGTAATCATTCAAGTGCGCGAGTACGGGAAGGAGTAAATGTTTGAATTTTTAAAATAAAAAATGAAAATTTTTAAATAAAGTTCTGCGTCGCATGCTGAGCTTTAGTTATTGATAATATTCTATCAAATAATACGAAGTTACATCAGAGTTACTAATCGTTTCTTTTCAACATTCCAAACAAGTCAGCCAGACTTTAACACATTCAAACTACATTTGCTACCAGATAATGCTGAAAACTTGAGAGGTAGGTAGTATTGTTAGTATTGTTACCTGTTATTAGTTTTACCGCAATTTTAAATAGTAAATTTAATCGGACATAATATACTAACATTTTTTTTTAAAATAAAGTCCTCACGATATCGTACATTACAAGCATATGGAGTTAGATTTAGGCCAGCTATATTACAAAGCTACTATTATACTAGAGGGACTATTATATTAAACACAATTACTGTAAACTAAAATATAATAGAGCACGCCGTTTGCTGGCAGGCGAATTGTAACAGTATATGCATTATAGACATAGGAGAGAGCTTTAGCCTCTAAAATGTAGAACTTACGAAACACCAGTTGCCGTCGACGTCAACAAAATACGAGTATATTGCAAAAATGTAGATTTATTAGAGATTTGAAACTGTTTCTGTTGAAATGGTAGTAGTGCTGTCGTTAAGTTATTGGCTTGGATGTGTCATATCTTGGGTTCGTTTCTCGCACAGGACAACTATTTGAATGATCTGTAGATAACAGTTAAAAATCTGGGCGATATTGCATTAGCTTTTAGTATTATCTGTGAATTGTTTCTAACACTCAGGTGAATATTAGAGATTAAAAATTGATAATAGTTATAATATAGTTAGATAATAATAGTTGTAAAAACGTTAAAAATACACTTAGTGGTCTCTTAGTACACTTAGTGATAATAGTTCAATAAGTGCACTAAAAGACTAGCACAATGTTAGTAAGTTCTATTCGATATATTCGTAATAGGTACTCGGTTTTTTATCATGACTAGATCTGATATTGTTTTGTATGAAGTGATGTTCAATTTTACATAGAGTTTCTCGAAAATATTTCTTTGTGACATGTAAATACCATTGACTTGTATTTGTGCATGGCTTAGAGCGACATGCTTACCAGTAACATATGGGAAAAAACTAGAGAAATTTGCACGGTATCCGCCTACCACATAAATCCAAAAGAGCGTCCTGCTTATTCTTATAAATCTAACTTGCTTCCATGGCTATCACACTCGAGGTCTCCCAACAATGAGCCTTGTAAGCTCTTATCTTTTAATCTAAATCCAACAATAAAACCGAACGGATAACGGGCGATACGAAATAAGGAAGATTAATCTGGGCCCTATCACGCATGAATCATCTTCGCCCGTGACGGATGGCTACGAGGCGACACACGCGGGCGCGTTTAGTAAAAAAAAGACACTAACGGAGAGGCCAACGATTTATAACCCGTCCTGGCGTAGGAGGTTGAAAATCAACATCAAGCCTCCGCCGTCCGGAATAGTTGAGATTGAGAGAATCATCGCCCGCGGTGAGGCGGGAGACGGCTTATTAGAATTTATGCGAGCGTCGAGCACCTTGATTAGAGCACGCATTTCGCAGCGCTCGCTGGTAAGGAGCGGGAAGTATTGGGCCTGGTGGGCCCGGGGCTCCGGTCGAAAAGGATAATTTGAAGTGATCCGCTCCGTCGTCACTCCCGCCCCTGGTGACGCTGCTGTGCTCATTGCATTACGGCCGAGTAATAGTCAAGGCTGCTCGGTAGCGAGCGGCAATAGGTGGGCACGTAGGGCGGGGTGGGTAAGCGCTCGGTTGCGAAAGTGCCCGGAATTCGCCGGCGCACTCGCTCGGCACACGGCAATTGGTCCGGTATCTGACACTGATGTACGCCACTATCAGTGCTGCACCGCGAACTATTAATGGCACGGAACGTTTCGTTATTCGAATAATTCGAATGTCGGCGCGAAACTTATTTCGGTATTGCGTAATCCACTCGGTTATTTAAGTATGTTCGATTGCTTCATCAACGGGTCGACGCGCTTTTTTCCCTGGCAGCGATAATCTCAATGACTCAATTACGCTGTTATGTTATTGTTGTTAATTACGATAAAAAATCACTCGTGCCTCCACTCCGTATCCGAGTATTTACACGACTAATTCACTTAACTGCTGACTTACTACGTTAACTACCTCGTGCGTTGTAATTACCGCTTCGGTTAAGTCGAAGCTAAGCGGCAGTGAAATTTAATAATGCATTATTTTAAATTTATGACATGCTGGTCTTTTATGATTTCAATTTGTACTACTCAAAGGAATTGTACTTCTTTACCAGCGTAAAGTGGAAGTATGACAAATACTTTCGCGTTTCGTCTGGTGAGTGAAGTAGCCGGAGCCCACTTTTCAAAAGGTTGTCAACGCATCTGTAACCCTCGGATGTAGCAGATGCCCATGGGCGGCGGTATTCACTTAACATCAGGTGAACCATATGCTCGTTTGGCAACTTTTCACAGTAAAAAAAATGTACTTCTGTATGTTATTTTTGCTTGCCTGTAAACTTAGGTCTTTATGTAAATGCTTAAAGTGTTTTCTTATTGATCGTGCCAAATTTTATCTAAGCTTTGCTTAGCTTATGTTAACTACCATCAAGCTATTTAAGACTTGGTTAGCATAAGAATTTCAATACATAAGAATTCGACTACTCTATAGTACATGATTGCTAGATCAAAGGGTCGTAAGGTGGATCGGAAAATTTAAGATAAGCATTTAAGTGTAAATTTTATTTTAATAACGCGTATGTGTTTATGACTCAAAAACCTAAGTCAGCATTAGGCTTTAGATAAAGTTAAATAAAAAATCCAAATCACTTTATGATTTCATTGTGTGTTTATTTTCGCGCGAATTTAATAAAATGACAGAGTGTAGCTTCCCCTTAACAGTGACCCGTATAGCCGCTACGGCCATACTTATTACGAATGCACCCATTATCTGTGGAATGCAAGACATATATGTATTTAACTGGCACTTAACTATACGTATGTATGCGCGGCGGTCTATTAGCGTACCAATCACTGTGTAGCGTACCAATCACTTTCGGTTTCCTTCGAGCGGCCGCGGCTGTACCGATTTGGTACGTGTCACGCGCAATACATCGCGGCAACGTATAATAATGTTGGACTTTGTTTGCCTTTTTAAATACTATGTTTGCTAGTGTAATTATTGGCATATACCGATTGATACGATTTAAATTATTAGTTCGTGTATCGATTTCGCAAAAATTGTTTCAATTTGACTGATTGCGTGTTTTGTCTTACGTAACGCTAGCTTATGTCGTTTTAATGGTAGAGTTGATTCGGTTTGGATTATTCATTCAGATAATTCTATATCGTGTATGATATAGTACTTGAATGATATCAGTTGAAACAAAAGGTCTCCTTTTAGCTTAAGAAAACTTGTGTTATTGAACAATGATTCAAGGTAAGACCATGTGGGTTTTTAATGAATATACTCACTGATAACCATCCGTTACATCACCAATCCTACTTAAACCACATTACTTTGAATGTAAAAATAAAAGTAAAATACTAGCGGTGATAGCTCAGTACGCGCGCTCGGTTATAATTAAATATACTGGAACAACCTTAGTTCTAATCCAGGTTCCAGCACCAATGAAAGTGTTAATTGCACTTTTCAGTACTGACTTATTACACGGTATCTGTGAAGGAAAACATCGTGAGAAAAACACCTAAATATTTTCCAAATAACAAAAATAAATATTTATTTAAAATTATTAAGAGCAGACCCTTATCCAGCAGTGGGACATACATAGGGTTTTTCTTAACCTTTTTTACCTTAAAATACTGCAGGCGAAATATTGAAAAGGAACATATTTTTAAGCAGTTGTGAAGACACCACCAATGATGACTCTGAATTCACACGTGATTAGATAAGAACTTTGAACTTTAACATAACAACTCATCCTTGGAAGCAAAGTGATTAGTTGGTAGCAGACATTGAAATTACCCATTAAGATAATGAACTATCAAGACAAGGTCTTCGATGATCATTTCAATCACATCAAATTATAAGCACTATAATACATAACTTATTAAATCGTAACACGGTAGGCTGGGATCCAGGGACCTCCGAATTTCCGGCATCAGGATTGTAATACAATAGTGGTGGCACCATACGGGTTTCTGATTCTGCAGTTGGAGAAATTTACCTCGGCCACAATGACATATCGGCGGCCCAGTCCACCGTTGCAGGGGAGCAGCGGCGTGATGGAATATGTCAACGTGGACCCTGGGGCTGCAATTATGCGCCGCTGTCCGTCGCGCGATCCGTGATTTACAACCCCTGATCGGGCGCCCGGGGCCTTTACATAAACTTTACTGGAACAGCTCAGTGGGTAAATGCGGCTATGATAATAATAATAATTGTACAGCTGGCGAACGGTTTCCGTGCGGGCACTGAACTGGCAAGTTTCGTGTCTGAAGCGCACCGATTGATGAGTCTCATGAATACCGACGGATATGAACGTTTCACCGTTGACTTGGAATGGAAGGAATGTTTGTTTTTTGTTAACTCTCTATTGAATTTGCTTTAACCAAGGATTACGAAGGTGCGAACAAAATGCCAAACATTCTCTCCTAGTCAACCCGGGGCGTAGTGAAATATCGTGGTAGTTGCAATTATTACATTATTTAAAATCGTTTCTATGACGAAACCGTTATAGATCAGTTTTCGGGCGCTCGCCTTACATTCAATATACTTGAGCAACCTGAGTTCGATCCCCGGTGCCGGCACCAATGAAATTGTTAATTTTAAGTGCCGAATTATCACGTGCTCAGCGTTGAAGGAAAACATCGTGAGGAAACCTGCATATTTTCGAAATAATAACAAAAAAAACGTTTCGAAGATACGCTAAGCCCGCCAATCCGCAATGGGGCTGCGTGGTGGACTATGCCCTGATACCCTCTGTACACAGGAGGCCTTTGCCCAGCAGTGGGATATGTACAGGCCGATACTATGACTAAAGTATTGATAACGCCATTCGGATGACATATAACTGTTACAAAAACAACTTGTTTTTCAACAAAACTATGATTTATTTTGCTTTGGGAGCAGTTTATAGAGAAGAAACATAAGTCATAGCAATAAGTAATGGACATAGTTACAAAGGCTGCATAGCGTAATTATGGTTATCGGAATTTTAATATTAATTACGAGAGTGATACATAATTTATATTACACAACATCTAATCTAATAATTTATTGGACGTCACACATATCAAAGAAATTATATTGAGCGCAACTTTAATTTACCGGCTCTACCGGTCACCGCGAGATTTTATCGATACATCGATGTTGTATCGATGCAATTACCGGTTGAATCGGCACTGATTTATGCGATAATGACAGGACAGCACTAGCTCCATTCACATGGGTCGGTTGATCGTGCGCGGAACACAGAAGTCATGTGTGCCGTAATTATTAGGTACAGTACAAGGAAACATGGCCCGTAATATCTATGGGATATTCTGAATAGTGAATTGCATTATTTTTTTATGGTGGATACACTTCTACAGGTATTCAAAAGTAATAAAAACCTATCAAGTGCGAGTCGGACTCGCGCACGTAGAGCTCGTGCCATAATAAAAATATTACATCTCTATAAAAACGGTAAAAAAATCATGTCTGTTGTATGGGAGCCCCAATTAAAATTTAATGGTATAGCAACAGGTATTTGTTGTTATAGCGGCAACAGAAATACATAATCTGAGTAAAATTTCAACTCTCTAATAAAGCCTCGTGACAGACGGACAGACAGACAGACAGACAGACGGCGGATTCTTAGTAATAGGATCCCGTTTTATCCTTTGGGTAGAGAACCCTAAAAATGACCATAAAAATAATTCAGTTTAACAAATATAGCAATAATTCTTTGCTGGTAAAACATAACCCATTATAGACATGTATACGATAATAATTTCCTATGGTTGATAAAGATGTCTTTGTTTTGAGTATGTTATGGTAGGGCCACGCAGCAGCCTCAGCTGTTGCACGAATGGGCAGGTATAATATAAAAAGGTACATTTTTTATACATTGTTTTTGCAGTAGTCCTGGAGTGTTACATTCAGGGAAGAAGAGAGCATAATCTATCCTAAAAAGCCGGTAACGCATTTGTAAGTCCTCGGGTGTTGCAGTTGTCGCATGGGCGGCGGTGATCACTTCCCATCAGGTGAGCCTCCTTCATCAACATCAGCCCTTTTCTCCATAAAAAAGGGTAGATGTATTTGTACATCTAACATGTATTTGATGCTTAGGTAACCAGAGGAAATTTGTCTCAAAGATTTTAACGGAAGAATAAAAAAAACACAAAACAATATTTGTGCCTGGTGGTTCCTGATGAAAATTCGATCATAATTGTTATTGGAAGTTTTCAATTTCTTTTATTCATTTGTTTTCAAATTTGAAAATCAATCAATTTTGGCCCGCTTGGAATAAAATTATGATAAAGTAAAATTTTTACTAGAGGACAACTTAGCAAACGACGGTATAGAAAGCAGCCAATAGCTGCTTGAAATATAAAAAAATAAACATAGCATTCTACATATGTGGAATGCTATATTTTATACGTTCACGATATTAATTGGATTAGGCGCATGAAAACAATTCACGTCAGCTAATCATCAGTGCAAAAAAGAGAACGTGCGTTGAGAACGA